TTTGGAAACTTCCAGAACACAGCCCGGAAGACCCACACCAGCCATTTTATGCCGGCCGTGAAAGCCTTCGACAATACAAAAATAAGACTGATCATTACCTGCATCTCAACATAGGTATGGGGTAAATTGTACTCTGGTGGCAGCTTCCGGTCATTATTGATTAGGTGATCTAGGATGGAGGGACTGAGAATGGGCTACAGAGAGGAAAAGAAAAAAAATTGGAGGGTTTTAGCTATTGTTCCTTAGCCAAACTAACTCATGCCCTGCCCTCAGTTCTCGGCTAAAGCTAATCCTCCTCTGGGGCAAAATGAATGGACAGGGGCCCTGAACACACTTTGTACTAATGATATCGTTTGTGCAACAAACTGTTGGAAGATGCATTTTATCATCTATAGCAGTGTTTCTCAACCATGGCAACTTTAAGATGTGTGGATTTCAACTCCCAGAATTCCCCACATCTTAAAGTTGCCAAGGTTGAGAAACACTGATCTATAGTGAACAAATAAATGCTGACACAACATTCTTTCTTTTTATCTTCTTTCACCCAGCAGCAAACATTCAACTACTGCCCTAAATATTCCAACCCTCTCTCTCTTTTTGCATCTTTATCTTGCTCCTTCTAGCAAATCCAAAGTACCACTTCTGCCCAAGCAACATATACAGAGCAGACTAAATTTTCCCGCGCTGCCCTCTGACATCACAAACAGTTTGCAGAACAGAGGTGTTTTCCCAGCAGTCTCAAAAATCTCAAGTCTGATTGGCTGGCTTGAAAAACTACAGTCTCAAGCAAGAACGCACAGATGTTCCAATGTGGATGGCTGGGAACAGCAACTGTCATCTAGTTTTGAACCTCCCTGAGGACAATTAGAGGTTGCCCAGAAAGTTCCTCAAAGGAAGAGCTAGAAAAAATCATAGAAAGATCACAAAATCACTGACCTGAGTATCAAGGAAGATGATACGCTCCTGAGTAATGAAGAAGTCAATGCCGCTAGTCTGGTTGCCCCCACGCTCCTTGATCTCTTGGCTCTGAGTGCGAAACACATATGTCCTATAAAAGGGGAAAAAAAGCATTCATAGAAAAGCTAAGGAGGATTGAAAATCTATTGTGGGTTAAACTTCAAGGAATATATTGATTAGCTGAACTGGTGTGATGGCATAGCAAGTTCACACGTTCAGATACCCAGGGAACAAATTGACTAGAGTTCAACATCTGTGGGAAACAAAGGAAGCTGTTGCTTCAGCAGAAAAAATACCTTACTTATGTACTTAAAACAAGAATAATCAAACAGCAAGGTGGCTGAATGAAAATTTCTGGACTGGTAACGGACACTGCCCTGTTTTGGTTTAATGTCCATATAGTCTTAACATTGTGTTATAAAAATGATTACAGTTTAAGGATGCAATTATACATTTGTATTATATACCAAAAATCTGGAACAAGACAGAATTACAAGCATCAAATAAGGGGAAAAGCAGCAAAAAAAATATTACTCTTTAATTCTATAAAGGTAATGCGTTCCCTAGATTTACAAACTAGATCACCAGCATGTATTCACTTACTGTGCATGAATTGGATCTCAGTCAAGGTAATGGAAAGACTGATCAATATTATTTCATGAGGTCAAAGCTTGACAACATGTTTAAAAATTAAGCTGAATGGTTTCCTATAAGTATCACACTATGTTTTCGCTGGTTCCTTTTTCCTTTTCTGTTTGCCTTTTTTCTTCTTTTTTGCTACACTGAAGCAATTTTAAAAAAACCTTCCAAACTCCCACCTATTCAGGTAGTCCTCAACTTACAACCACAATTGGAACTGGAATTTCCATCGCTAAGCGATGTGGTCGTAAAGCAAGATGTCACATGACCACATCGTTTAGCAACCGCAATCCTGGCATTCCCCCCATTGCCATTGTTAAGCAAATTCCACCAGTGGTTAGCCAAGGATCCACCCCAAGCCAAGCCATTCCGGGCTTGGTCCCACCAAGCACCAAGCCTCAGTAAGGTAAGGGACTGCCTCCAACTCCCCCCACCCACCTATCTCCTCCCCAATCTCTACCATGTGGCTCTGAGCTGCTTTCCACCTGCGCGGCTCAGGAACTTTTTGGCTCTCCTTCCCCCTTCACTCGCTTGCATGGACCAGCGCCCTCCTTCCCCCTTTGCTCCTGCAAAGGCCCAGCACCACAGTGCAGTGCGAGGGGGGCATGGTGCATGTGAACGAGCAAAAGGGGAAGGAGGGTGCTGGTGCATGCATGCAAGTAAGGGAAGGAGGGTGTGATGCGTGCGTGCAAGTGAGTGAAGGGGGCACAGTGCATGCATGCGAGCGAAGGGGGAAAAGAGGGTGCAGTGCATGCAGGCAAAGAAAGGCTGGGGTGGGGGGGGGAGGCTTACCCAAGCAACTTGCAACCTCCCCTGCCAGCTTCCCCATTGACTTTGCTTGTGGGAAGCTGGCAGGGAAGGTTGCAAAAGGCAGTCACATGACTGCAGGGTGCTTGGCATAAATGCGAATGGGTTGCCAAGCACCCAGATCGCGATCACATGACCGCAGGAGCACTGCAACAGCCGTAACTTCAGGGACCAATCGTAAGTCCATTTTTTCAGCAGTGTCATAACTTCAGTCGCTGAACGAATAATAACAACTCAAGGACTACCTGTACTGAATTAAGAAGAACCCCATAACAATCTTCCTTATTCTGTTCATTTTCAAATCTCACTGCCAACCCTCTTTCATCAATCTGGTACCCAATGGCAAGTACAGTTCCTCCTCCATAACTCCGAAGTACCTCTGATCTTCTTCAGGCTGATTAGCTGATAGCAGTGACATCACCATGGACTTCCCAGTACCTTGCAGTCCTAATACCCCAACTACCAGCACATCTGTTTGGTCCAGGAGGTACTAATATGAGAGAGAGGGACTTGTAAGCATAACACCTAGTAAAGGTATGATGGTAGTTTAAAATGTGTTATCTATATTCTTCAGAACAAAACATAACCACTTGTATTCGCTAGCAATGGTGGAAGTTATCAATCTATTATTTATTGGTTTACAATGAATACACTCTTTAACCTTGTTCTTCATTTTTTCCTAGTTGCATTTCAGCCAAAAGTAAGATATGTACAAATATCTAATAAAGTAACTTATGATTCTAACTTACTTAGAACAGATGGGTCAGGATGGAGTACAAAGTTACTAAAAACAATCCCCCCTCCACACACCCCAATACAAAGTAGGAAAAAAAGTTATTTGAAAGCTATAAAAATCAGTTAAAAGAAAAAAGTAAATAAAAAAGCCATCGAAAAGATTTGGAAAGCGACAGGCTCAGGACAATTAGCCAGATCAGAGCTTGATTTCCAAAAAAGTTACAGGAATGGGAGATATACAAACAGAAAACAAAAAGAGTAAGCAAGCATGGAAAACTTCCAGACAGTCCACCATACCTCAATAGCACTGTCACACCAGTTCATCTGGTCATCCACCAGTTTGATGCTATGCTTCATCTTCTCCGGGGCTAACAACTTTGCCTGGCCAACCACAGCTAGAAAAATCAGCAGGTGATACCCTAATCCACAAGTTCCACATAAAGGCGATGTAGAGTAGCATTACACCTCCCGTTCACTCCCCTCTTTAATATTTAACTCAAGATCAAGGGTCGGCAGTTCAATCTCCAGAGGCAGGTCTAACTATCCCAAGCCATACTGCATCCCTGAGCTGCCAGGAGAGATGCCAATAATTAGCTGCCACCGATATACCCATTCCACCAAAGAAGTTGCCTTTTGGGCCAGACTTACGGTCCATAACACCACTCGATGCAGTTGAGCCCATACCCCTATTCTGAATCTGATAGACCGGCTGGGTGGGGCGCTGGCCTTCCTTCTCCACCTTGGCAACAGCTGCGGGGGGCTGAGCAGATACCTCTGTGGCTCCAGCAGGACCTTTGCCTTCCTCTCGGGACTTCATCAGCACAATGGGCTTTTCCATGGCAGGAGCAGCAGTAGGTGCTGGGGTGGGAACAGAGACTGGAGCCCCCTTGGACTGTGAAGACAAGCAAGCCAAGATCCCATATCCCTCTCAGACGTACAGCCCCCTTTGGTCGTAGCTACTATGTCCCACTGCCTTCCCAAGGCTTGGGGACATGGGGACAGCTCCTTCACCATAAGATGCCTAAAAGAATTGGAACAGGGAAGACAGCATTCCCATTGTGGGTATGTTTCAGATTCTGTGTTCCCTTAGCCACTCCGGGGGGTGGGGGGGGGATCACATTAAAAATATGAAATGAGAATGATGGGGACGTGTGAAGAAGAGAGAATATCCTACTCATTCTGTCTCTTTCAAAACATTAAAGCAGAGAATGTATTTAAGAAATGAATATGGCTCAAACAATTGTGACCTTGGGCAGCATACAATCAACAAACTTAGCAAGTGTACAATTAAAAAAAAACAGGGCAGGTAAACAAGAAAATTGAATAGGTGGTCAGGAACCCAAATTTATATTACACCCCTCCAGGTGGGAAGTTAAATCAACTTGGCCCCAATGCCTGAAGAAAGAATTAACAGCTCAGCAGGGTTGTCTGGTTATCCTTGAACACAGGAATGAAGAAACCCCCCACTGCTGAATTCTGAGCTCTGAATTATTTACCAGCTATTATTACAAAACTTAAAACTAGTGGATCAGGTTCTCCTACTTACCCTCTCTGCAGGAGGTTTGGCCAGAATGATGGGTGTCTTCTGCATCATAGTCCCCACTGGTTCATCCATAGGTTCCTACAATGAGAGTGGGGTCAGACTTAAGGTGGAACCCTCCCCTTACTGCCATCCCAGCCAAAGCGTAGACTTTTACCCTCCGGTCTCGGTCTCGGTCCCGGTCCCAGGGGACATAGTCACGCTCTCGCCCTGGCCCAGACAGGCTTTGGTGACCCAGCTCCTTCTCTCGGTTCCAGCGACGACGTCGTTCATACAATCCAGGCTGACTGTGTCCCGACTCTGACATGTGGAAATGAGATCTGGGAAGAGAACAAGAGTCCCATCTGGGTTCTGAATGATAACACGAGTGAAGGACAATATTATCTGACCTTAAAAGGAAAAGGCTTGGTATTTATGATGGAGTTGTGGAGAAACATCACCTGAAGGTGTCAGTAGGCTTTGAGCATGAGCAGCAAAAGTAAAAGTTTAATCTTGGAAGTAGTGTGTGTATACGAGTGGGGACGTGTGTTAAAGATACACACATCCACACCTACAAGTTTTCTAAAGGCAACACTTTCTAAGATGTAGGTTTTTGTCTGTATGACCATGCATCTCAGCTGTAAAGCAGTGCCATCTTACAGGATCTAGAAGTTGTGCTTGCCCTGTTGAATAGCATTCCCATTGAGGTCTGTCTGGCCCTGACCTTGCTGTGTTCTCACTAAGCGATAAAAATCTGGCTCTTTCCCCCAGTTCTCTGGTGTTCATTCATTGGTCTTTTCTTACTATTTTTCTACTGTTCTGTGTGAGCTAGAGTTACTTTAGAGCATGGGGGCGGGGGCTTATAAGTGGATACCTCAGTGGATTATCTCGGCTGTGAGCTTTAGGATGGTTTCTTATATGCTTTTACATTGGGGTTTTTTTCTTCTTGTTTTTAAACTGTTGTCTTTTTTTGTTGGTTTTATATTTAATAGTTTGTAACTTGCCCAGAGTCATATATATGAGATGGGTGGCCATATAAATTTGAATAAATAAATAATTTTTTTAAAACCTTCCTCTTCTGAGTTACCCCAAATGTCCATCTCTCCACTCAAAGCATCTTCTAAGACACTGTTTTTGAAACTAGGCAGTTTTAAGATGTGTGGACTTCAACTCCCAGAATTCCCCAGCCAGCAGTCCACACTTCTTACAGTTATTGAGGTTGAAAAACACTGTTCTAAGATAAAGGTGGGAACGAAGTATGGTCTCTTCCTCCAAGGGCCAATGGCTCTGCGACAGGCTCCCTTTCCAGTTTTTGTTGTTATATTATTATCCTGCCTTTTTTATAGATAACTCAAGGCAGTGAACATCCCTAACACTCCTGCTTCCTCCTATTTTCCCCACCGCCACAACCCTGCAAGGTGAGTTGGGCTGAGAGGAAGCCCCAGCCAGCTTTCATATTCCTCCTCTGCCTCTATTCACTTGGGGAGGAACTGCTTGAGGCCTCAAAGAGCAATACAGGTAGTCCTTGTTTAGCGATTGCCTCATTTAGCAACCGTTTGCAGTTACAACGGTGATGAAAAAGTAACTCTGTGACCAATCCTATCATTTATGACCTTCACAGGTCTGTAAAGCAAAGGAAAAGCAAAGTCAGATTGTAAGCACAGTTGCAATTTCACTTAGCAACCACTTCTCTTAACGACCAAGATACCAGTCCCAGTTGTGGTCACTAAATGAGGACTACCGGTACATGCGTGTTCAGGTATTTGAAAGGCCAGCCTCTCCCCCCGACTCATGGCTTCCAGGTATGTAAACCAGGTTGGGGGAAGACTGAGCTAGCTCTTCCTTTTCTCACTGTACGCTGCCCAGAGTCACATGCGTGAGATGAACGACTATATAAATTCAATAAATAAATAAATAAATAAACACATTTAAAATTGGGAGGGAGAGAGAAAGCAAGCAGGAGGCACCTATTGGTTAAACGTGACCTAAAAAAGGCAGCACATATTGAGGAAGCAGAATGCAAGCAACTAGTGCTACCGAGCACATGCAGAGTGCTTCAGTTCTGACGAACTGTCATGCAGCATCCAAGCTTTGGGATTAGAAAGCACAATTTCTGGGGAGAGACGGACCTATAATTGGCGGAAAGATACACGACCTACAAATGCGATTTGGTTGCTAAGCAACCTCCCCACGAACGGATACGAGAGGAAGCAAGCTGCCGCCGGAACTATACATCTCTCGCGGAGGGATAACGCTGGCTTTCTCTCAGCGTTCGCGGAAGGATACTGGCGCACTGTACCAGGAACTACCTATTCTCAGTCCCGCAAAGAAATACCTGAGCAGCGGAATCCTGAAAGCCGATAAGAACCCCGCTTATGCAAGCAGTACTCCGGCCCAGCGTCGCGTAAATTAAAAGGTAGCGTCAGTCGGGGCAAAGCTCGTTGCGAGGCAGATGGGATTAGCGATGTGTGGGTCAACGCATCACGGAAGGAAGCAGGGAAAGAGCCTCGTCGGCCACCGTTGTTTGAGCTAGCGCGCAGGCGCAGGAGGTCATAATTCATTCCGAGCGTGAGCACCGTTAGCTTTGACTTGGCGCATGCTCCCTCTCTACGTCAAGGTTCTGTGTGTGGGGGTGGGGTGGGTGGGAGGCCGTCAACGTTCAGTTCGCCGCAGCAGTTCCGTGCGTGCGCATGCACCAAAAGCCTACAAGTTTGAGCCTAGAGGGGCTTCGAGCGGGAGCGGCGTGTCTTGGAACCGGAACTGAAGGGGCCTATGTTGGAACCGGAATCTATTAAGTGGATCGGAGACGGCCGGATTCCTACAGAGGAGCCGTAGCGCCATCTAGTGGTGGGAGTGAGAAATTAATGACTATGGTAGACTTGGACTACAATCCCCATTGGCTCAGGCACTCTGGCTGAGGACGATGGTATTAGTAGTGCAACAAAGACCATTGTGCTCGTTTTTCTGGCTATTACACGCCATGGGGAAATTCATGGTTGTGATTAGCTAAAGGCCAGAAACAGAAGCAAAATTTTGCAGCCAAAGTGTTCTAAAATCCGATGTACTGTAATATTGTGTAGATCAGGGGTTCTCAACCTTAGCAACTTCAAGTTGTGCGGACTTAAATTCCCTATGGTGGCTGGGGAATTCTGAGGGCTGAAGTCCACCCGTCTTAAACTTGCCAAGGTTGAGAAACGCCGCTGTAGATGATTCCAGAGGATTTTGTTAGAACAGGCTTGGATTTGTAATTATGGTGCCGGGCAAAGATCGAGGCGACTGAGGATCACCCTCAGCCACGGAAGCTCCCTGGAGGATGTGAGGTCACAGACCAGCCTACCTGACAGGGCTGTTGGGAAGAGAGTGGGAAGAGGAACTCGTTTGCTCAGCTCTGAGCTGCTGGAGGAAAGGCAGAGCCTCCAGGAATAACGCACAACATTCCCTTCAATCAAGGATTTTTGCGTGTTTGGAAGTGGCAGGAACCGGGCACGAAGCCAGCTGGGTGACCTTGGGCCAGTCACTTTCTCTCAGCCCTTGGAAGGAGGCAATGGCAAACCACTTCCGCAATCTCGCAAAAAACTACAGGGACTTGTCCTGGCAAGGAAGGGTGGGTGGGTGAGTGGTAGACAGAAAGAGACTTCTGGCTCGGCTTATTCGCGGGTGGCTTGTTCCATAAACTACA